TGTATTGATTTAATTGCTAACCCATATCATTATGAAAAAGTGAAATAAACTATTTTTTAATTATTTCTTCACATCTACTAAATTGTTATATCTTATTGGCAACAAAATGCATTTATTTAACTATCAGTCGCCTTAGGTCAACATCTTAGGTCACAACATTACATTAAAATTTAATTTTTAAAATATCCGCACTAATTCATAATTATTTATAATTAGTATGATACCAAATAATTGTTTTCAGGATTCGACTATTTGGAATTTTAAGAACCAACATACGTCTATGTTATGGTACTACTTACATTTATAGTTCTTTCTGAACATATCAAATGTTTCAGTAAAAATAATTATTCTTATTGGGATCTTAATTGTAAAATGGTAAGCCACCTCAATAAAATTTAAAAGACCCCTTTGGTAAATCATCTTTGATAAACTATAACTTATTATAAGGGACCTTTCTCGTATGGTCATTATAAAGTCATTATAATGAGGAATATGAAAAGATAGAAGAATAGAAATGAGTCTCTATTTCACTTGGCAAAACCTAATCTTTTTATATTCATAAATATAAGTGAATTAGTTTGAATTCTTTACTATTACTTCTGGAAGTATCAAGTTTTCATAGTTTAGTTAGATGAAATTCCAGGAATCATTCGTTTTCTAAAATATGTATGGGATAAATTACAACAGGAATAATGACTTTATTTTTCTAGATGTGTGTAATAAATTGAAAATATTATAAGTTGTTTGTTTGTTTTATTTTGATCCTAAGCACTCATCATGTGACAAATACGATCCTTCTCAAAACTGATTATCATTATATGTTTCTTTAGAACTCGTTTTTGACTTTTGATTAACAACTAATTAATGATGATAGATCCATGTGTATTCAGCTGACGAGTCCTAGATAGGACGAAATGCACGTTTAGAATTCCATAACTAGCCACCATTCATCACCGTTTATATTTAAATAATTCTGTACGTCATATTCATAATATTTCATTCAGACGTAGATAATAGTCAGTAATTCTTTTAAAACTTTATTACTTCAGGTATTTAGATAATAAATTCAGTAAATTAGAAATAAACAATTATTAGATGATTCCTTACTTAATGTTCATTTGTAATGAGGACAAACTAAAGCGAAAAAACAAACTCTAGTTGAATAACAGATAAAATGTCAGATTTCATTCCTTGAAGAAGAAGAAGAAGAGGAAAAGGTGAATTTAAACTGATTCGTTTTTCTAGAACCATAACAAAGTACTTCGGTAAATTTATTTGTACTGACCATGGAATATAGGTCAATTAATAATAGTAATAATAATAATAATGACCATTGTAAATGTTTCAGATTAAATGGTTTCCTCATTTAGAAAATGAACTTACTACAATGTGTGAAAAATTGAAACCGTTTAAGAATGGTATTTATCACTTATAAAGGTAATTAAATATTCTGTTATATTTAAAGTTATATGCAATCTACTACTGATTATGTTAATCATTTATTTAGGTCGCTTATCGGCTTACATAATCAAATATTGATACGTATAAGAAATTTTTATGATCTGTTTGAAACTACGTTATTTATATTGAATTCATTAGATTTTGCATTCAGTATAATGAAGAATAATTAATCACCTATTTAACCTATGTAAAATACATGATACCTAAAAGATATGATCCAACTTTTAGGCTTACAATAAATTTATATCAAGTAATATATTATTTATATAGGAAATGAACGATTATAGGAAATTTCATGGCTAATAGTTATGTATTATATATGGGTTTATTGAAAGTTATTTATTTATGGAAGATTATTCATGGTAACAGTATTATGGGTTAAAAACTATCTGAAGGGGTTTGTGGAGATTTTTAGAAATTTCCACAGATTGAAATCATGAGTCAGTTGAAGCTAGACCACCATTGAAAACCCGGAAGCACTGGACGGTCGTTTCGTCCTAGTGTGGGACTCCTCAGCAGTGCGCATCCACGATCCCGCACCACGTGAGGCTAGAACCCAGGACCTACTGGCTTCGCGCACTGCTGAGTCCCACACTAGTACGAAACGGCCGTCCAGTGCTTGCAGGTTTTCAATGGTGGTCTAGCTTTAACTGACTCATGATTTCAATCTGTGAAAACTATCTGTTGATAGTTATAGTGATTTGCGTTAGTTTAAATGTGAGAAAGATTTGTTGAATATAACTGAAAGTAGTTACGATTGTTATCATACATGGTAGATGTTTTTATATGGTCTGTTGATACTAAAAGATGTGAAAAATTCTCTTTTTGTAAATCATTACAATTCGTTAATAGTTTGAGATAGTTTATGAAAATTATGCTTTGTTGATAAGTACTACTTACGTTAACTGTAATTTCTCTTCATTGGAACACTATCGATGTACAATTGATCGATAAATTAAGTTACGAATGTACCAACAACAACAACATAAAAATAGATCTTTAATAATTAGAAGAAATGTGAATTATGACATTTAGGCTAAGAAATTTAAAGCCATCAGTTATCAAGACACTAGAATCTATTAAACAATAATAATTCTTTTTAATTTTGAACAGTTAAAATTCATTAAACATGGTAACTTACTAATAAACTTAACATTTTGTCATACCTTCACTTGAGGTAACATAAAATTATGCTTATTGTTTATTGTCAAGATAACGTTATATTGTATATTTCAACTAGGAGTATTATTCTTCAACTTAGTCAATGAACTGTTAAACTACAAAAACATTTAGCTAAGAGTATAGTTGTACTTCACTAATATAAACAGTAACAAAATTGAATTAGTTTGATTATATTAAAAATTCGAAAAAAGAAACAAAGAACTTATGGTAGATTTCAATGTTTAGACCTTATCTCATATAAATATCCAAAGTATTAGTAAAATGGGACATTCTAATATAAACTTATTTTGAATGTCTTACATGTTTATGAATGCTTATCTTCATTTTGGAAAAAAAAATTTATTTCGGTTGTGTTTAGACTAGTAACTATTTAAAGGATACTTTATAATTTTTGTATCATCTATTCATTCAAGACAATTTAGATAATTCAAGTATTATAGCCAGTCTATGATTGATTTAGCTTAATACAAATGGTATTATATAATTCTACCAAGAATCTGGTCATTGAAAATGCATACCATATCTATTTAATAGGTATATTATTATTACCATGTTCATATTGAGAAATGATCTCTGAAATGTGTTTACAAATTAAAGAAAAGCTTAGATATGAACAAATAAATTGATCATCTACGAATATTGGTTAACTGGAGTAAATGACGAAGAACAAAGTAGATTACCTGCTTGAATTTATCACTAAACTTAGTTGTGTTTTTTTCCTGGTTAGTGTGTGGATTAGAGAATGCTGGTCGGCGGCTTATTCTCCATTGGAAGTAACAAGCGTAAGTAAGTAGATAAATTAGTTGATTTTATCCTAAAAAGATAGTTTGTACAAATGGAACGTTTTCGGAAATCACTTATGTCACCTTTGTTTTTTTTTAGTTTATTTATGTCCTGAAAGTAAACATATGATTTAATATCAGAAGGGGTTTTATGGAAATTGTAGTAATTTCAATAGTTTAAATCATGAATCAATTGAATCTAGACCACCATGAAAAGCCTAGAAGCACTGTACGCCCAATTCGTCTTATTTTCGGACTCCTCAGCAGTGCGCATCCAAAATAGGTTACATTTAGATAGTAATTTATAATTATAAATTTTATGATTGTTTGTCCGGGACTTAAATTTTTAAACTTCGGATAAATCTCAAAATATGTGGGAACTAGACAACTGACGAAATAAATCCGAAATCACTGGAGGAATAAATTTTATAAAAAAAATACTCTTCAGATGGAATAACTCTATGACCACATATACTATAAAGTTGTCTTCATAAATTGGGATTAAAATGTACCATATTTATTATAAGTAGTATGGGTTAGTTTGAATATTATGGCTTCTAATTTTTATTGTGCTTAAGGCTGTTTAATATTGCTTAACTCAAAAGCACTAAAAGGTTTAACTGATTCTCTAGCCCGGTGCATAACACGTTTTCTTTCTGAAACAACATGTACTGCTTTCAAATCTCATTGTAAATATCAACATTGGAATGAAAATCTCTGATACTGAAAGAAATTCTTAAATTAACTGAATATTTACAGTTCATTTTCCTAGAAAAAAAATGTTTAAAGAAAACTCTTTATTTCCATGATGGTCTAGCTTTAATTGACTCATGTATTCAATGATTAAATTACTACAATCTCCACAATACCTCTCTCTGGTTATAATTTCATATACATTTATTTTGCTTCTATTTTTTTAAATGTAATAGTTCGATGATCTCTTATTTACACTGTACAAAAAATATTAATTCAGAAAGTAAACTACAGACTTTGTTTCATTTTGAACTTAATCAATCTTATCAAAGTAAAACCATACATAGATACACCTTAAAAACTTTCATGAAAATATATAATGTAATAATAAGTCTGATATCTTTCTAGGAATAATGTCCACTTGTAGTTCTTCTAGAGTTACTGTCAATCCCAAGCCCAGATAAAAGAGGAGAATTATGTATGGGATTAATAGTGATTCTAAAAGAGCTACAAACGGTGATTCATTAATTCTATGTAATATATAAAATTTAAATATTTACTTTAGTTTATATAAACTAATGTTTCATATTAACTTATGCTCAATAGTATAATTACGATGTTTTCATTTATGATGTTGTAACAATAGAATCTTAATGGATTAATTCAGATGAAGGATATACATACCTTTTTATTCTCTGAAGAAGTGACTTACACTAAGTCACGAAACGTCAGAAAATCCTATTTTCTACTAATTAGGATATTACAAATATATTAATTTTATTTATGCATACCTTATTGTTATTAAACTAGAAATAATACAGAAATATAGTTATAATAATAATAATAATATAACATTAATTGTTTATCATACTAAAAACTTACTATTCGTTAAATTCTAATACACTATTCAATAGTTCACGTAAAATGAGCTGATATCATAAGTGAACATTGAAGAATATATATGTATATGTATATGTGTATGTGTGAAAGAGAGAGTGATTGTGTACTATTTTACACTGTTCACAAAGTAAACAAAATCAATAAAGATGAACTTTGTCCAATTGAGTAATCAAACTTATTATATCATATTATTTTTGATAATGATTATTTAATTGAAGAATAAAAATAATGTAAATAAATGTATTTTATATCCAAGTTATTAAGTTAAAAGTCATCATTCATTTATTCATTTGTTTTGTTTTGTTTTTTTAAAACAAAACTTATATAATATCCTCAGAAAATGACTTATGACATATATATACACAAAGGGATACATACATGATTATATACATATTGGTTGACATCATGATGAACTTGAAGTAATAATGATTGTTAACTATGATTATTTAACATGTTACTTTATGAAATAAGTAACAAATACTATGTCCTATAGTAATAACAAAATCTGTATTTTATGTTAGGAGAAAAGGGAGAGTGAAATTGAGAAATCTAATGGTTCATAAGATTGAAATAATTTTTATTTTTTATTTTTTTTTTTACTTTATGGGCAAATGAAATATTTTGTTGCACTCATCAATATACAACTATCTAAACCAATAATATGAAGAGCAAATAAAGTTTGTGCACTGTATTACTATTGTACGAGAACAATTGTTTTTCTTTTCATTTTTAGAAAAAAAAGAATAATACCCCAACATCTAAATTAGGAGTATAAACACATGCATACACATGTGTTCATTTCTACGGTTACACTGTTCATTCATTGATCCATAATATTCTGTGGAAAAAAAAAGCATGCTGACTTAACACACATACAAATATACATAGAATAGGAGTGGAAGAAAAACAGATAGGAAAATGTTTAGTAAAGACAGATTATGTAGAAAAACTAACCTTAGTCTATTTGAATCTATGTAATATCAATAATGACAAGATTACTTAAATAAGTAGTTATGTTCTAAAAATAGGTCACATAAAATATATGTAAACTGTATGTATTAATATATTTATGCAGTTGACTGATGTGAAATAATTAAAGCTAGAATGTTTATTTATTTTTAAAAAAAGGGATGGTTAATAATGTTGTCGGTAACATAAGACTATCAGTGGGGGGGGTGTTGTTTAAACGATGATTGTCAGTTTGATTAAGGTTACAATTTCAATTTTTTATAGAGGGACTTTGACAGGTAATAAAAATATCAACGTCAATTTCTATGTTACAGCACAAAAATTTTAATATAATCCCAGTACACCTATTCATTTTAGTCAAGATTGAAGAAGATAGTTTCACTGAAATTGAATGCCAATTACGTAGAAAATTTTAGATATTGTATTGTTTGTGTAAAAAGTTAAGAGAAATTTAACAGTTCTAAGATTTTCCTAGACATTGCCGATCACTGAAATTTGCATAATTATGCTTCTTATCTCGCAAGATCACGAAGTCGAAACACATGTTCATATATGTACTGGTCATTTATAATGACTATAACATTATTGAGAGAATGATTCATTTTCAAAATGTAGTTCACACAACGTTTCTCACTTAGTGATAGGCTAGATTAGAAAATTACTTTGCGTGTTTTTATGATTTTGAGAGATCATATACTACTACTATTATTACTACTACTACTTATATATTGATAATGATCATTTACAGAACTGAGAAAATCAACTGGTATCGGGTTTAAAGACAAATTCTAGCAGTGTCAAACACATAGCTCTAACGATTGTACGTGGAGCCTAAATATTAATTAAAACACAACACAGAGTGATATAATGAGAAAAATATCTATATACGAATAACAAAATATATCAGAACGAGTTTCAATGGGAAGTATACACATTTTTGAGCAAAACTGGCTATGTTTCCAGATCATTTGTCTTCAGATATGTACCTTCATTGAAAGGACAATACACAATGGATTGGAAAAACAACTTGTTTATATGGTCTATTTCCTGTTTGTTAAAAGTGAACACCATTACACTGTTTGTTGGATTTTATCCTTTTAAGAATTGCTTCATTGAAACAAACTTATTTATTCCACAAAATACCGATATGGAATCAAAGTATCCTGCGTAAAATATCTTAAGAAATCCTACAGTAAAACTACTACACTAAATAACTGTAGTCAAAATTGTAATAAAAAGGTAGAATGGAGAAAAATGAATATCAAAAGTCTTAAATTCTAATTTTCATTGTCATACAGGCGGAGAGGGTCAGAAACTAAGCTTTAGCTTAAATATAACAAAGGACTTGAAGAGAAAACCGGTTGATAATATAAAGAGATTGTTAAAATTAGAGATTATTCTTTAACTTCAATGAATATCGTGATTATAATTAGGTGAACAGGTGACTAAATGAATCTGATAAGGCAAAGAAAAGAAATTGTTTTGGTTATCTGTATATTCACATAAATTATAAATGTGATTGTTAACAAAACAAAGTAAAGTATATTTAGGTAATATAACGAATTCTGTCGATATTTAGTTACATACATTACCAATGACTGTGATAGTCTGAGACTTGATCTTGACTAGAAAGCATAAGTTACTTATGATCAAGTGTCACTTAAATGAATTAAAAACTTCACAGATGATGTGATCAGTTGGAATTATCATACTATCGAATACTGATGCCAACAATTGTGTTTGTATATATTTCATACTCAGCTATTTAATGCGTTTAAAACTTCCAGAATATAGATATGTTTTTGGTGAAAGCATCGAGGAAATGTGCTTTATGTTAATCGCTGTCACAGGTTAGTGGAGACGATAGCCTTGTACAAATGATACGAAACCGGATTAGTGGTTGAATAAACATTTACGAGTAATTGTTTTTGTAATTTGTTTTAGGAAGCATCATATACTTTATTGAAAAAATGTTTATACTTATTGTTGGTACATTTTAAGTAGATATGTCATTGGATTAATTTTAGTCAACTGGTTTACAATGGATGAGCAAAATCATAAAGGAGTGCTGACTAGTTGAACAGCAGAAAAAATCAAATAAACGTCAGTTTTGAAACTTAAAAAAATTAAACATTTTAATAGAATATTTACTTCTATGTAAAGCTTAAAGATGAATAAAAATATTAATGGTTGAATTCATGAGTCGATCAAAGCTAAACCACCATTGAGAACCAGGAAGCACTAGACCGCCGTTTCATCCTAGTTTCGGATGACTCAACAATAAGCATCCATGATCCAGCATACGAAACTCGAACACAGGAGCGCAAAATCGAAATTCCTGGGTTCGAGTTCAGTGTGCGGAATCATATATGCTCATTGTTGAGTCATCCGAAACTAGGATGAAACGGCGTCTAGTGCTTCCAGGTTCTCAATGGTGGACACCTTAGATCGACTCATGAATTCAATTAACAGAGTTACTACAATAAAAATATTTTCATTAAAAGTTTCTTTATTACAGGCTTTAACCTGAACAACATGTCATTTTAATCTTTTGGAAAGGTGATTATTGGTTTTAAAGGGAAAAAAGCTCATTTAAGAATAATATAATGTTCAGCATTTTGTATAATGTTATTTATTGAGATGAAAAAGCTCACTAATTTATCAAAAATGGAACTATGAGCTCGCAATAGATTTATTCATGCTAATGAAACATTAATGAGTCTATCGAATGTCACTAATAATATCTGGAATGAAATTTATATAACAAAACACCATCACAGGAGTATGAATTATTTAATTGTCAGTTGCGTGTAGACAATCGAGTTGGCAACTCTGCATCTAATCTCCTCCATCTCTGACAACAGTATATCTCAACAGATAAACTACAGTGCAGAGACAAACCAATTTTAAATACAATTACCATACTTGAATATCTCCATTAACAGAGGTTAAAAGGTGAATTTTTTTCAGATAATGAGTAACGCAGTAGTTTATTTTGATCTATCAAAAGACGTTCCTCGTTTTCTGGAACTTTTATAATAATAGACCAGTTCGATTGGTTATAAAACTCGACCCGAGAATTTTCGTTTATGATCTTCACTCTTTGGCAGAACATCATTATCAAGTGTCAACCATTGTATGGAATCTAAGAGCAAACTACTGTGCTTTATTCTGAGCATCTAAGTGCTATTTATTAAATTTTTTTTTATTGAACAATCTTGGAAGAATCTATCATTCTTAATTCATTTATTAAGGGTCTTAAGAAAAGTATCACATTCTACCACATTGATATGTTTATGTAATTTCATCATATCACGTAAACCATAAATAAACTAAAAGAAAATAGGACTAACTTGGCAACTGAATATACTAATTGTAAATATTTCATAATAAACTAGAAATGATAATCATTTTCTCAATCTTATAGAATTTAAACATTTTTAGTATTGCGCTACAAACCATTACCAATTATTGATCTTAAATATTTATCACTTAAATTAATCCAGAATCACTTCACCATATTATAGTTCTGATAAAATCGTTTTGAAAAAGATCCAGATGATCAGTACGTCAACACTGAGTGATGTATTTCAATTATTTCTCAAGTTATTGTTATAACTTGTGAATCTGTGTGCCCTGTGTATTGGATAAAGCAACGATACCGCCTGTTAGAGAGCAGCGAATTATCGATCGAACCAGTGATGCATAAAACATGCGCGAGTAGCCTAGAGTCCTAATTGGTCCTGCTTCCCTGTCTAGCCCAGCCAGTTGAGTCCAGAACACCGATCCCAACCTCTGCAGTATGAATCATTTATTTCAAACATACTCGGTTTATATATCGATCAAACTGACTACAGCGTACCATAAAATATGAAAATAACATTTGTACAAAATATGGCCAAATGTGGCTGTGAATGAGAGAGATAGTGATTAACAAACAGGGAATAATTCAAGAATGGTAAATCGTGCAATAATAGCTCATAGGTCAAAATACAACTCATAATAACTGGGACATGAATATGAACAGTACAGTTACATAACAATTATACGATAAAAAAAATATTCATAGTATTGGTCCATAAGTGGATTCCAAGAACTACCATTCATTATTTTTATCGGGATATAACAGTTATTCATTCAATAAAATAGTAACTTTGGTTTTATTAAACTTGACCTTACGAAAAATCTAGCGTCCTTTCTGATAATATTTGACAATAAAACAGGTTCTGAATTACAGCCTGATGTATATCTATATATATTTGTACAACACTATGAATACAAGGTAATTTATTATTCAACTACTTGAAAAATAAACAAACGAAAATAAACAAAAGTTGTTTACAACTAAAGTAAGAAGCTATAATAATGTAATAAAAGAGGATCATTATTGACATAGATAATTTCTACAATTTGAAAACATTATTCATGTATGTACCTATGTATATCATATTTATACAAGTAAATATATAGAAAGAAACATGGTGTAACAAGCAAATAGAATGACAAATATATATTTCCTAAAATGGAAATCTTTAAGTATTTGTAATGGAACAATTACACTTACAATGACTTTGATATTAATAATCTATAATTGTTTTCTATTGCTTTCTATTGTTACTGTCATTCAAAAAAAAAGAAAGGAAACACAATACATATAGGTAAAATACAAACAAACAAACAGGCAAATAAAAAACTAAATACAAATATTTACTGATATGGATTTCAATAGTTGAAATTATGATTTAATTGAAGCTAAACCACCATGGAAAACC